ATTATCATATCCGGTGAATTTGTGTTGTTGGTGCTAAACAAAACGAGGGGAGATGAATATACAAGTCAAGAGCTTTGCATCCCAAAATTATGTTTCATTATATATATACATATATATATTTCTTTTCTTTGTATGTACACACACACACACACACACACACACACACACACACACATATATATATATATATATATATATATATATATATATATATATATATATATATATATATATATATGATTTCGTCAAACTTAATTGAACTAATCTAACTGTGACCCTATCGGACGTTTGGTTGAAGGCTCGATCTAATTTTCAAACATCGGTAATGTTAACCTACTTGTTCATTGAAGAAAGTTTAACTATTGCTAGTTATTGTAAAACTTGTCATTTTAAGTTTGTTAAACGTTTGGAAAATCGCTTGGCCCATACCATTGCTACTCGATATGAGGTGCATTGGTCTGCTTGGCCTAAATGGCGTTCTATATCTATATCTTCGCAATGAAATTTTGTATCCCCATAAACTTGCTCGGGCTTCTCAATTCAAATTGTAATGGGGTTATTCCTCTTAGTATCATTTCTATATCGTGTTTTTGTGATGAAGGATACCCCATTGTTGACTTTTGTTCGTTATTCCCTACGATTTGAATATATTATATTTCACTTATCAAAAAAAAAAAAACCATCTATAAATAATTATTGAACTATGTACCTTATAATCAATCATACAGACCAGACACCCAATTTCTTTTAGGGGCCAAAGTGTTTTATAAACAGAGTCACAAAAATAATGGTCCAAGATTTTGGGCCATCCTATCACATCCTTTTATTCAAGCTTGCAAAATATTGTTGAGCTTGAGGGAATAACACAATTTTGTTTGTAATATATGTTTTGTTGCCAATTCAATTTTTTTTTTTATCTCCCTTATATTATGTACGATTATATGTTTTTTTTTTCTTCATATTTATCATTATAATAAAAAAGTATTGTGGTTAATTCTTATAATATATTAGAAAACAAATCTATGAATATTTACTTATTGTTGCATTTTTGTATGAATTACTCCGGAAAAATTTAGGGTGATGCCCTCTAACGCACAATATTTTTAACATACCCGTCGTTGTTGATGTAGTATCACTTACGGATAGTAATTAATATGGAATGCGAGGCGTCAGTTACTGCTAACGAGTAGATGATAGTTGAGAAGCACGTCACCACATAGAGAGTTACGTAAGGTTGGAATCCAGTACCTGCAAGATGAACACGCGTAAACTATGTATATATGGTGTTGGTCCAACGAAGGACCCCCATGCTAGAGTCAAAGAATGGAAGAAATCTCCAGAAAACTCAAGCAATCAGAGAATAATACAGTAACTTGAGTTTTTCTGGAGATCTCTTCCCATTTTGAGCATATCGACCTACTTGAACTTCTGATTGAGGGGTTTTGTCGAACCAACCCCACCTACTTCACATATGTTCACCTCTCAGGTATTGGACCCCTACCTTACATAGCTCTCTATGTGGTGTCATATTTCACTACTATTACCTACTTGTGAGAAGTAACTTACGTCTCGCATTCCACATTAATTACTAATTACTATCCATAAACGATATTACATATATCATTTCGAAC